AGAAATGGAACATATTGTTTTTCATAACTGTTTAAGCAATAACCTCAGTGCATAATATGTTTGCGCCATTTTGTCCCAGACGAATTACAATAACAATAATGCATAAACAAGCTTCAAGGCTATGCTACGACTCTTGCAGTACACAATATACTGTGGTAACCAAGTTAATGGAACTTCCCCAAATCCGGGAATCTCCCACGACTGTACACTTACGACTTAGTATAAACAACAGATAACCTATTCAGACTTTAAGATGCCATCTTGAACTAAGTCAGGAAAATTTCCATGACTTATGCACCCTTTAGTTATGGCCTTGTATGTTTGCCAGATTAAGGGAGGTCCTAAAATGAATAAAGTGTTACTTTTTCATATTTGAACTACAGTAACCTAAAATGGAGACACCTAAGGTATAAATAGGTGTACTTTTAAATGTTAAGACACAGAGGAGAGACTTGGAGACAGACGCTGCTCCATCTTAAAATGACAGAGAGGCTGACATGATGACATGTTCAGAAGGGTCTGTTAACCTATTAATGATATTTGCAAGCATGTAATTTAATCTTATAAACTCTGCTATAATGGATTTTATATTTTTATATAATATCCAAAAAGACAAAACGATTGCTTCCAAGACAATCCTTATTTTATATTGTATTCTCAATTTATATATGTTAAATAGAGGATCTCTTACTAACTGTATAAAATTATGGCTTGGATATCTGTATGGTTAGCCCTACTAAGTTCTATGCTTTAAGACATTATAGTGGTAAATAAGGGAACCACCACGGTTACAATTGGCAACCACGAAGGGACTTTGTACTTGGAAGCTTTAAATATAAAATAAATACCTAGGTAACCTCTTATACGTAAGAGAAGACACAATACTTTGTCATGGCACAAGTCTTGAAATATCAAGAATCTAATGACCTATTTGTAGCACAGACTCAGAGAGAGATCATTAGAGATGATTTTAATGGGAACAAAGCACTTTGAGTTCAGGTGCCAGGTACAACGTAATTAGCATACAATGCTGAAATTGTGGATCTTAACTAATATCATAATAGAACAAATATACATATTTGGTAAACTCCCTGATATGCCTAATACCCCAGCACAGCATGGCCCGTTAGTTCCAGGACAGTGGATTGCAGACAGGGGGACATGTTCTCTTTGTAGCTGCTTAGTATGCATGCGCAGGAAAAAAATTAATGCAAAATGTTGTCAAAAGAAAAGTGATAAGACAGAGCGATGAAATTTGAAGTCTAATTCCAAAAATGCAAAGAAAATTGCATTATGGCTTAATGAAAACACATAAGCGACAGACAGGATTTTTAATTATTGAATTACTGCGTTCTGGATTCTAATGTCCACTATATATAAAAAGTTTGTAAGACAGTAATATTTTCCATATTGTCAGTTCGCTAGCTGTTGATTAAAAATCAGGAATTATAACCGCATAACTATTTTTGGGGTCTGGAATTTCCAGCCAAGGTTGCGGAGGTAGACATGTAAACATTCCAAGGAATTGATAAGTCGTTTTATATTCTAAATTATGAACAACATTATTACATACAGCCATAAAGAGAAAGACATGGCTTTTAAATACATTCAGTGCAGTACAATGCAGCATATATTTTATATAGTATATGATAACTAGCTCATATTTTTTCCTAAACAGAGTTGCAATTATACTACCCTCCCAGAAAAAAAGGGCAACAGGTGGTTAAACATCCTTTGCTTCTCTAAATGCTCTGCAAAAATAAATATTGATAAAATTATTAAAAATAATATGTAAGATAAATCAGGGCTAAATAAAATTGTAACTATACAGGATCTCTAATAACTTTTAAACTGAAATTATTAAAGGCTCATTTAAATACATTTACAGCTTTAAATGTGACCAAACTATATTAAATGATGTGTTAAGCAGCCAACCCAATTCACTAGAATAGCATAAGTATTCTACTATTTAAAGTGCACAATTCCTGCACATAATGACTTTGCTTACTCAGGTACAGTATTTAGTCTATTGCAATGGCAGTAAAATCCACCAATTTTAAAAGGGAAAGCTTACTTAAATCACTGGTACTATCCCACCGTACTAGCTGTAAGGAAATTAGAACAATGATATTGTACTACTGACTGTAATCAGATCAGACACATGTAATCTCAGTGAATTTCGTAAACTAGGTTTTCATAAAATAAAATTAAATATCAATGTTATTTATAAATAAAAGTATATAGACTAGGCAATAAGAGCATTTACATGCATTCAGCAGCCTGCTCTCTCAGAGCCAGAAACGGATTTATAAAAAATAAAAAGTAGGTTTTAAAAAGTCCACAGTCAACCACACATGACGGGTGAAATAATTGCTTCTTTAAAAGCTATATGCTGCTGCAATTATGTATATAAATACAGATAAGGGCAAAGAGTAGAAATAAAAATACAGTTTCAAATCTCATATATGGGGATTCAGTTCCACTACATATTCTACAATTCTGAAAGAGGCTAATTTTAATAATATGTTGTAAGAGCACTGTGAATATATATAATGCAAAATGAATTTAATATTGCAAAGCCTGCAATATTCTAAACAGACATTAAAATTTAAGAAAAAAAGAAAAAGAATAATGCATAAAGAATAATGCATAAAAAAATGCAGTGTCAATTAAAGTGATAATACTCTGATATATTAAATCACATTGCATATCACATATCTGCTATATGAAAAGTATAATTAAAGTGACATTACTGTCCAATGCCCCCTCACATCTATTTTATAGAATCTATACTTTTCAGTGGTCACCTCCAAAGAAGCCCCTGAAACTGGGGGGCTCAGAGGGGTGCTCATCCCAAAAGGAATCAGATTCCAGACTTAAATGTATTTTTAAATAAATAAATGATAGAAAAGGAATCACGGGAACACCCAGAACATGCATTTTTGTATACAATCTTAATTTGCAGATATTTTATGCCTTAAAGACATATAAAGGATATTAAATATGCAGGTATCTTTAAAAATTAAGCAATGTTAAAAAATAAATAAATAATAATAATAATAATAATAATAATAAAAATATATATATATATATATATATATATATATTTATTTTACACCACAATATAAACAGCTTTGTTAAACAAATTTAAGTACAAGTACTTATGACAAGAAATATACAGAATACGTTCACAACAGGCAGGTTTAGCATAAATGCAAAGTTGTTGTTTTTGGGGATTTATTATTGCCCAAGAAATCTCTGAACATATTCAGAATTTTTGAGAGCAGCAAGAATAGATAGCAGATTGCAATGGACACCACTACAATATTGCTTTGCTGATTTGAGGTCAGAGATTTAAAGAATAAATAAATGTTCTATAGCTCGCTAGACCACTGGCTTTTAATGAACAGATTGCACAACACTTATGAATAGTTTGTAATACTGCACATTATAGCTGTGACAACATAATACACAGGGTAACAATGCTATGTCACTGTTTAATAGACTTACCCAGTATTTAAGGACAACATGTTTCTTGCAAAGTGATCGGGACTTTGAGGGAGGTTCTAACTATGTTTAATTAATTAAGTTACTAAAGAAAAAGGTTTTGTTTTTCCCCTGCAAGTGAGTTTTCAGCGCAAGGTCATCTTGTGTTCAGACTATTCGGTTTTAAAAAGCTGTTCTTTATCTCACATTATGAACAGCCTTGTAATTCCTATCCACACTAAAAGTTGGCTTTTAAATTTTATTGTTTTAACTTTAATATTTCATAGTTAATACAGAGGATAAAGTAATTTAAAGAAAGTATATTAATTGATAGGATTTCATTTATCTATTTTGGTCCACTGATCTCGTGTCTCAGTCTGGTATTCAAACAGTTTTTCTTACGATACTTCGTGAGTTTTTATCCACAACTGCATTTTGCTTTGTGGTAACAAATTGAAAGCCTGGCATTGTAATACGTGTATGGACATGCTTATAACAAAGCATGGTCCCTCTCCTCATGTAGTTGGTCATTAACAGGCACTTTGATGCAATGTGTCTGCCAACGCTTTTCTGTGGTCACTGGATCACATCGCATACCCTATCTCTCAGTCATGATGCAGAGTTTATGCTTGCAAGGATATCCAGACCTTATCCACCTGGTATCTGCATAAATACTCCTATCGTTTAGAGGGGTTAATTACATAATAACCATTGGAGGTAATATGTTGGTTGTTCTTCCTATAGAGGAAAGATAGACTTGCCCTAAAAGCTTTTTCATGGCTAGGACAAGCTCTTATAGAGAGGTAATGTACTTCTGACTCCTGAAAAGGAATATTGGTGGTCCAATATGTGAAATACTGTAATTCATGTGTTTAGTAATCATAAGCATTTGCTTATTGCCACATTACTGATGTACTGTTTATTGAAATATTAATATCTAACGTACTTTTTGAATTACTATATATTGGAAGTTTGCCAACATCTCATGGTTATAAATATGTTTTTGTATGTGTTGATGCATGTACCAGGTTTACTTGGATTTATCTTGTGCTCAGTGCAACCTCTGATGCCACGTTTTCTAGTCTCACTTCCTTAGTATGCATTTGATAATCCCAGGACCATCCATTTGGATGGTGGTCCTGCACTTACTGCAAAGGAAACCTAAAACTGGGCAACCACATTTGGGTTACTTTGGTATTTCAGTGCCCCAACCACCCCCAAAGAAGTGGGGTTGTGGTCTGGGAGAATGCTGAGGTTAAATGATTATTAACCAAGTTACTAGTTGCTTGCCCCACACAGTGGTATCTATTTATTCCTATGGTACAGATGAGCATTCACAACATACCTGATGATACAAATGGTGAGACACCATATGAAATGTTACATGTTTTTTCACTGACAATTATATTTCTGCAACAGGGAGAGCTTAGAACCATTGGTTCTATTAGAGAAATTTAGGGAAAAATTTTTTCCAGCCCACCTCACCTTGCACCACCAACTTTTTCTTACTGTTGGCCAGTTTGTCCTGGAGAGGGTGACTCCGATAACTTTTACTACAGAGAACAATCAGAGCCAACAGAGAACAGTAAGTTTTGATATTTTACGACCTGCTAAATACTAACAGGACATTCACAGAACCACTGACTGACACAGTGAATGCTGTTAAAGATGGCAAGATAAAACAAACAGAGGACGACAGAAAATCCACCAGAATCATAGCCATGTAACAGACTGAATCATGATCTGACACCTGAACCGGCAAATGTGAAGGAGAAGGATGAATAGACAGACGTGATACATTCACAGTTAACATGGAATGTATGAAAAATGAATCATCAACATCATTATAAGAGACTCTGGAGAAAACAG